TATACGATAACGAATCACAACTTTCCCTCCATCATCTCGATCGTAAAACGAATTTAGCGTACATACTTGGCCATCAATGACGTAACCGACACTGACGCAAATGACAATTGTTGTACGTCGTTCCTCCAAACGATCGATTCTATCCAAGAGACCACACATCTCTACATTCACACACACACAAACAAATTTATTTCATAAGCAAATTTTCTTTAATTTTCCATTTCAAAATTAATTTAATGAAAGAGCTAAAAAGTCCCAAGCTAATTTTATAAATGAGTTAGTCTTTCTTAACATTTTTTTAGAATCATTCTTGTTTCAATTGTAAAACTGTAAAAACCTAGCTCGTTAAATGGAGATCTAAAAAAAAAGTCTGGAAAAAAGGGTTATTGATTTTTAAAATTATCTAGAAACTTTCCACTCACTTAGAGATTTTCTAGCCACTCTATATTAGAAGAATGTATTTTTTTATTAAAAGATGAACTAGAAGTATCTGCAATTTGAAAAATTGATTATACTTTTCTCTAATTTTGTAAAGTAATTTTTTCTTTTAATTGTGAAACTGTAAGCTCAATTATAGACCTACAAAAATTTTGAAAGCTAATAATTGCATCTAATGTATGAACATTTGGCGTATTTTATATTTTTGATTTCCTTAACTTACTTTTATACACGACCCTTGAACGTCGCGACTTCTTCGTTAAAATTCTATTACGATCAATAAACCGTTAGAGACATCGGGAGAAATTAGATGAAGACTTTCCTCATCGATTTCATAATATCCTATATTTCATTTTTAACAAGAATACTTCAGTAAAAAGACGTGGACTAATCGAATTTAAGTAAGCTCAGCTAAATCCGTTTATTGTATAAACCCAATTCAATCCTAAACCATTCCTTCTATCTATTTATCTATCTGTCTGTCTATCTACCAATGACATTTCCGCAAGTTTATTGTTATGTAATTTGAAATAAGATGGATTTATATTACGAATAATAAATTTAAAAAATAAAGCAAAATTTCTATGACATCAAATGAATATTTTATACGATTCATATGAAAATAAATGGTGCAATTAGATAACAAGGGGTAAGTTATGATTGAATAAGTAGAAGTTTATCGTTCAACAATTTTTACGAATATAAGTGCAGAAATTTATCTCAATAAACATGTATAAATACGCATTTACATAGATATATCGAATATACATATGTAAATTCATAGATATATCAAACACGATGTTTTTCTTGCTATCCCTTTCCTAACCCTACCTCAATAATGTCTCGACCCTCTATAACTCAATCTTTCTTTCGTGCTCGGAATAAAATTGGTTGGGACATAAGTTACTTTCTTTTTTTTACGTAGAAAGTGTTACTAAAATAAAATATATGGGTTTCTATCTAATAAAAAAAATAAAATTGACTTTGAAACTTTCTATAAAATAAAAAATAAAAAATTTCCTAATATTTTTCCCTTAAAATTACATCTTATTTGCACAATTTTTCACAAGTATGCTTTTTTAGATATACCTTAGACTTGAAAAAAAAAATTAATAACTTACAATTAGTACATATTGTATATGCATATGAAGTAATAAAAATAATTTAAAAATAATAAAACAATTGTTAATTTACAAATATAAATGCATATACTTAAGTATTTGAATCTAAAATAATATGGCGTCATAGAGGGTTAATTTTATCCAACCATAAATACTTGGCCAATGCGTTTTTATAAAAAAATAAAATTAAAAAAAAAACCAGAAACATGCACTCATATCAAATCCAACAAATCATTTTAATTTCTTATTTATATATTTTCAGCTTGACGGTTTACGACGTTGATTCTCGAGTATCGCAAGTAGAAGAAAGTCCTGACCTGATCGATGGTACGTCTTCAAATGAAAACAGCAGTACCGAAAATTCATCCACGGGACATTCGCCATTGGATAGTCCCAGTGGTATTAGAGAAAGAATTAAACGAATGCAAGTAGAAGCTGAAATACGACGAGACGAATTTGCTAGGTTGCTCGAGGAACATGCTCAAGTCGTAAGAAAATTAAAAATGATGGAAGCGGAAGAACAACTTTCTTCGTCGACGCACGTAGATGGTACCGGAACTGGGACTGGTACTGGGACCGTCGTTGCTAGTACGCATGCGTGATTTCGCGCGATTCCGCACGATTCCGCCCGACTCAGCGCGATTCCACCAGATTCCGCGCGTCGAACTAAACAAAATCTCTTTTTATACTCACGATTATTATTAGATACATATATATTGCATATATATAGATGTATGTGTATGT